TACACACATCCACATGTGCAGATAAAGACATACGACTCAAACTAGAACTTTACGAAATCACCCCATCCCTTACTCTGATGCTTTCTTTACTACCCTGTTCTATTTCATTACCTAAAGAGATGGCAGTCACTATCTACCACGGTGATTTCAGGATTCATCAATGGGCCACAACCTGAGCTGAAAAACTCTGGTTGACGTCAGTTCTCCATCATCCTTTGCCAGAGGCCACCAGAGAGCATGTGTATGGGACCGATGGAGGAGCCCTGGGAGCAGCCAGTGGCCTTGACACAAAGTGTCAGTCCCATTCACAACCTGGACTGAGCTGTCTGAACACAAGAGGCGTCCAGGCAGAGATGCACTCAACCAGGGAACAGAAGGTACTAACATTCAAAAAGCCATTTCTGACAAGCGTAAGGGGAAAGCTTTCCTCTCAGGGGAGAGTTCTGCTGACCAAGGGAAAACTAGACGTTTGCTACAGCTGGTCAATTTCCCAGGGTCAAGGAGGAGCCACGGAGGGTCTCTTTAGGGGAAATGAATCTCTGTGGTGCTCCTTCCGGCAGCACAGAGCACGCTGGTGAGGGGTTCCCCTTCCCCAGCTGCCTTCCCATGCAGCTGAGAACGGGTGGGGAGGGGGCACACAGCAGGAAGAGATGGAGCTGGCACTGATCTTCAGCATCTTTGCATTTATCAGCAATCCCTTCCTGAGCACCTATGGGGTGCCAGGCACCGTGCTGGGCTCTGACGTGACAAAGGCGACTACGACGTGGTCGCATCCCCGCGGTCCTCACGGGCCTCAGGGTCTAGTGGGTGAGCAGGGACGGCCTGCACCTATTGCTTGGCTGTCCTTGCTGAAATTGCTGGTGAAAGTCACAGGCCGCCTATTCTGAGCCTAGCCTTGAGGAGAAGAGCCAAAAGGAAAAGTCAGAATACATACAGGAGGTTTGATGCCCGTGAGGAATCTGCCGGTGACGAAGCCGCCGGCCCGGGGGGTGAATTCATAGGGCTCGAAGCAGGGCAGCGACTTGCCAGACGCCATCAGCGGGGGTCTCCGACCTTCCAACTCAATCTGGCCCAGCAGGCACGAGATCTGCGGAAAAGGAAACCCACAGGGGACTGAAGGCCCGCACGCATGTTCAACAACGCTCTGTCCCAGCAGGGGACGGAGGGCTCGCCCTTCAAGAAACACCATGTGGAAACTGAGTCCTTGAAGGACAACCCAGATTTCTAAACGGCCCAGGAGGCTTACGTTTCAGGAAAACAACTGTCTTCCTTTTGTTGGAATTTCCACGTTTGGGGTCAGTTGAAAATGGGCGATGCTTGTAAAAGCGGCCACTTTCAGAAGCATCATAGGTGATACCTGGAGGGGACCTCAGGGTCCTAATGGGGAAGCTGAGACCAGCAGGAAAAGTAATTCATTGTGATCCTTAACCTTCCTAGGCCAAGAGAGAGTCAAACTGCATATTAATACTCTTGGGGGGAAAAGAACAGTACGTCTGCATTTTACTCAGTCCAAAGGGCTTCCTGATGGTCTCCAGCCTTTAAATCCATTCCTATTGCTCTACACACAACAATGAGATGGTCCTTAAGACCCTCTTGAGGTGACCAAGACTAAAAAAAGGAAGTTGCTAAGATTGTGAAAACGCTGTGATAGCACTGCACTTTCTGAGGAAAAAACTGAGCCTCCAATCAAAGGATATTGTAAGTATTGTAGAGGTTTCTTAAACTTTTATGAAAAATTTCAGGATCTCAGCTAAGATTATATACATACACACATGCAGAGATACCGCATATAATACAATAATACAGTATATGAATTTACAATTGTATTATACACATCAACATCCGGATATTTATATCTGAACCTGTCTATAATACTGGCGTGTTAAGAGTGGTTAGCTCCTGTACTGATTTCAATACACTTGTGTACTTTTCAGTAATTGCCACATTTTATACGCAATGTGGGTCCTTTTCAAGTCAGAAGCAAAATCTGAAAGCTGCCTCCGGCAATCACCCCACCCTTCGGCAAGCCAGCCAGCCTGCCTTGGCTCCCACCTGCATGGTGTTCACAGTTGAACCTTTGGCTCCGGACTGCACCATCATCTGCAAGTTGTTCTCTGGGAACTGTCTGTGCAGGCCGAAAGGCATGCACACCTGGGGATTGAATACACACATCAGTCGGTGACTCACCCTCTTTGGAATCCCAGGTTGCAAAGGCAAGTCTAGGATGCACAAGTCAACTCAGACTACTTACCTGGAGAGAAGTGCCACATCCCACTCGAGGTGAGAAGTCTTATGTGGCAACAACTCTTCCACTAGAAGCCCTAGAGAGGTGTCTAAGGGATGGCCCTCACTGTGCTCCCTTGGCACGGCTGCCAGGAAGCCCAAGGTTCCTGTCACTGGCAAACGGCAGCAAAAAGGGAGAAGCAAAGGAGACGCAGCGGAGCCAGCCTCTCCAGTTTGTGATTCTGAAAAGCAGCTGGTTACAAATAAAACCTAAGGTGGTGCCCTTGGGAACTCACCCAGTAGAGCCTGGCTTGGTCCCGCACACCTGGCAATGACGACCAATGTCCGCGTCCCAGTCACGTTTCCCGGCACACTGCCCAAGCACCCAGCGCGAGTCTCACCTGGGCTCCTGAGCCCATGGAAGTGGGCAGAGCTCCCAGGTGGACCTGGGAGACGCTGGGAGGGGGCTCTGAGTCTGTTTATGCCTCTGCCCAAGGTTGCAGAGACCCAGCCCAACACAGGAGAGGCAGAGTGGGTGGGAAGAGATGCAGGAACCCTGAGATGCTTCTGAGACAACATCCCTCCGCAGCATCCCCAGTCAGCCCCGGAAGCTGGGCCTCCTGGTTCTCCCGTGGGCCTGGGAAGGCTCCTCTGGACCAAGCCTTTCAGGGATGGAATTATACCAATGAGGTCTGAGTTCTTGGCAGCTTAATGAAGGCTGACAGACAGCTAAGAGGGCACAGAAGCCAATACTGACTTTTGCTGCGGGTTGACCTCGCCTCCCCTTTTCCCTCAGGTGGGACCTCATGGCCCTGGAGGCAGGGTGAGGACCAGGCAGGCTCCTTCAAGCAGCAGGACTGGAAGCCCCAGCTCTGGGACAGGAAGACAGAGAGAATCAGGCTGCCATCCTGGCTCGTGCAGGGACTTCCCTCTCTTTGCTCAGCTGCACGGGAAGGGGCCTGGGAGGACTCACGGGGCACTCAGACCTCGCCCAGAGCACTGTGCACGTTAGCGCCTTGATCCTCTCAGCAACACCATGAGGCAGGAGCTCTTCACATCCCCCTCTTCAAGGGAGACATCAAGGCTCGGACTGGTTACATCACGTGAGGCCCAAGATCACCCAGCCAGTACGTGGCAGAGCTGGGATTCGAACCCAGGACTCTATACAAGCAGCACTGGTGTTTTCGATCTTTCACTCTGCCCCTCCAGCCTTAGTGGCCCCATAGGAAAGATTTTCTTCAGTCCCCTTTAATGCAGTCATCCCAAAATACAAACATTTGAAATGAAAGGCAGTGTGAAGCTTTTTCTCTCAGCATTAATCAAAGACCTCTCCAGACCCTAACTGGATAAGGGAACCAAGCCCTTGGTTTTTCAAAACGATGCTTTCTACTCTGCCCATCTCAAATCTCACCTAGACAGCTGTGAAACAGCCCAATTGCTCTAAGGGGCCCAAAGAGAGAATCAAAATATAGTTTTTGAAAAGACCAGCATTCAAAATGGTGGTGGTAAGTGCGCATACGGCGGGACTAACCTTGTTAATTTCGTTGCTGTAATGGTTCACTTCCTCCTTGAACTTCAGATCAATCATGTTAAAATCCCTCTGGTCTTTGCCCAGATGGGCATCCTGCCATTTCCCTCGGACCTCATCACATGATGCAGTTTCTGGCAGGTTTAACGCAGCCCTGACAGCCTAGAATGAGAAAAGGAACACGTTGGAGGCTGTAGCCAAGTGAGGAGGGTGCGGGCTTTGCTCCGTCGGTGCCCACCCCGCCACGGCAGGCGGTAGCCTCCCGGGCCCTCCTCACCCGGGGCCCACAGCAGGTGGACTCTTCAATGATCCTGTGTCTCCTGACGTCCGCCTTCGGCTTCACCAAAATGTCTTCCACGCCTGTGAAGCGAAACAGACAAGCCTGGATGTGACCGGGCCTGACTTCTCACCGGGCCGTAAACCTGGTGAGGTCAGGGCACGGGGCACATGTCACACACACAGGAAGCACCTGAATAATCATGGTGCCATTCACATTGCTATTAAGAGACTGCTACCATCTCTGAAGTGCTTACCAGAGGCCAAGCGTTATAACCCTATTTTGCAAATAAACTGAGGCTCAAACGTGAGCCCAAGGTTACGGGGGCAGGAAGTAAACTGAAGCCCAGGTCCCTCACTTGTGCTCTTAGCCGCCGGCCGTACTCCCTCCACTCAATAAACACATGTTGGATGAATGGGCTAGAGGTGAAGTTTTGGGTCAAAAACTGAGTTTGAGGAAAGATGAGAGGGAGAGAGAGGATATCCTGGTTTTGACACCCAGAAGTCCCATGTCGTGGAACCACCCTATACAGCTGTGAGAACACGTGCGCAGGCGCACACAGACACACTCAAGCCCCTGGGCGACCACCGCAGGGTCCTCCCCGTTGCTCTGGAAGGAGAAAAGCCAGGGTCCCTTCAGTTAAGACTGTCCTAGTTTCCAAGGGCTGAGGCACACCTCACCTTGGGCAGGAAATCTTCCCACTTCACCTTTCAGTGAGCTATTTCTTGTCTACCTCGGAGACCTGCTGGACTCCAAAGTCCCTTAGCCAAGGACTGAGTGGGAGGGAGACCGTGGCTGCACTGTTCAAAAGCCGGGCTAAGACACCGGGGACTCCCACATGCAACGTCCTGGAAGCTTGAGGGTCTCAGAGGAACTCGTGCGAGAGGGACAGGAAAGAAACTGTCCCTCTGTGAGGAAGCCGTAACCATGCAAGTGGCTCCTTCTGTGGGGTCAGCTCCAGGCTGCCTTGCTGTCCCTTCAGTGATGACCTCCAGCGGTGAGGGCTGGAGGAAGGCACCACCGCCAGCCCAGCCCGCCCTCAGAGCTCGACGCCCGGCCTGGCCCTGCTCCCGCTCAGTCTCATGGCATCCGGATGGTCTCTGTACTCAGGGGCCCAACATCTCTTTGTCCACGTGCTAAGCGGCTGCAAGCCTGGCTTGAGGGTTTGGGCTGATCCTCATCATGGTCTGGGTGAGGAGTCTTCCTCTACTGTTTTTTTAAGATGTTTATTCGAGGATGCTCATCCCAGCAATATAGTGAAAACCAGGAAAAGGGGTTACTAAAGGTTTACTGACAGGAACTAGTTAAATAAACTACGGAACATCCGCACAACTAGAATAGTCTGTGGCCACAGACCTGAGGATGCAGGTTTGTATCAGCTCAAAGGGATATTTATAAAATACATTTGGAAACAGGGGGGAGGGCAGGGGGCGTAGCACATCACAAAACACAAGGTAGTACAGGATCCCATTTGGTCTGAACGTATTTGGACTTGGAAAGCCCAGAAAGACACACATCAAATCAATATTGGTGGCTCTCTCCGGCAGCTGAATGCTGGATGGTTTTAATTTCCTGACAACAGGGAAGACCCTTTGCAGAGGGCACAGAGTGGTCAGAAGATTCTAGAAGGGCATTTGCAGGAGAGAAGTGGAGGTGAGTGTGAGTGTGAAAAAGTCAGTCTCAGGAATAGAAAACCATAAAGGGTGGGGACAAGAAAGGGACAGAATGGCAGCGGGGTTGCTCTATACCATGCGAATAAACACTGGTGGGGTGCTTGGGAGAGGAGGAGCAAGGCTGTGAAATGTCCCTGGCAGCCAAGTGAGGACACCCTCGTAGAAGGAGCCTGGCCGTCCCCTGGAGGTAGAGCCGGGAGGACATCCTGGCGGGCGTGCTGGCCAGGGGAGCGGGGCCCAGGGCCACCTGCCCGGCACTCACCCAAGGTGAAGCCTCTGTAGAGCTGCAGGTAGGCGGTGAAGAGGCGGGCCAGGCAGGTGAGGACCTTGCCACTGGTCTCCCCGCCGTAGATCTCGTAGCAGCAGTGGACCAGGCCGTAGGCCGAGCTCCCGTAGTGTGCCTTGTCCAGCACCCCGCAGAGCAGCTCCCCGTCCCTGATGACTACCTGCGGAGGGACAGCCACCGGTGCTGAGCTGGAGGTGACACCTCCTGTGTGAGCCCCCTATCCCACGTTTTACTAACCTTACAGTAACCTGCCTCAAGTCCTTCATGCCAAGAAGTAGGGTATAAACGGAACCCCCCCTTTTTTTTTAATAAAGGAGGTGCGCATATATAGGACATTAAAATTATTTTTTTAGGGACTACACCACACATATGGACATTTCAGTGTGTTCTTATGTCCCCCTGTGCTCTCCACTCATTCGTACTGACTTGAGGTCAAACATCATTGACAAAGACCTTGAGATTGGAAATAAGAATGTCTAGCGTCTAAACTTCATAACCATGACCTTGGCCCAGGCCCTCCCTCCCTTGCATTCCAGGAGTAAGAAAAACATAACCTTTCTAATATTCTTTAAGGCCCAAATTTGTACTTTCATAAAGTTGGGTTAGAGCAATAGAAGCTAATTAAAAGGAGGGTTTGACTGGCCTGGGCTGCCCCCGAGGCGTGGTTGCTAGGCCTGGAGCTGGGAGGTGTGAGACCTCATAGCCACACGCCAATCTCCAGCCTCTCAGGGATCTCAGGGGAAAACAGAGCTAAGCTTTGCAGAGTCAAGTTCAGGGGCCCTCCGCTGTAGAAGCCTTCCCAAGCTGGCTATGGGTTTTATACTGAGCATCAAATGCTAGCAGCGGACTCTCATCCTTTCCAGCACCAAAGTTGACACTAACTTGGGTACAACTCCTTCCCTTCTGAGGCACAACACCTGCTTCTGTGCATGTGCCTCCATTTCTCTGCCTTGGTTTTAAGTCGATTTGCCTGTACCCGGGACCAGAGGCCTCCCACCCCTACAGCTGGGCAGCCACACCTGGGACTCGCACATGGAGTCGGGGTTAAAGCCAGGAACGGGCCGAGGAGACTCCTTCACCCAGGCCTTCCCGCTGATCTTCGCCTTTCCCGACAAGTTCAGGGGGACGTGGTCCTCCGGGATCACGTTGATGAGCAGTGTAGACACGACCTTGAAAGAAAAAGAAGACAAAGCTGATGGCGGGGAGCAAAGCTGAGAAGCTCCCTCTTAGGATCTCTTGTCCCTGTTCGTCCTGAAAGGCAGACAACTCTGCTCTGATGAGCTGGAGTCAAGCAGGAAAAATATCCAAAAAACCCTAAAAAAGAGACAGTTTCTTTTCTGTAGGACAGGTTGATCTCAGTTCTTTCTTACTCTTCTGCTTACATGACTCAGGAGGGAACTTAGGGTTGGAGACAAACACATACCACTGAGAACTTCCTTCACTAGGATTTTTATTTCCTAACATAATTCTTCTTAGAGTGAACGATCCTCTAGATCTGAAAACTAAGTTCCTAAATAGGCTAAAGGAAGGAAAGGAAAAGAAAATTGCTGTGGCATCACAGGAAACAAAGACTTAAGTATATACGTGGTTAAAAAAAACAAAACAAACAACCACCACAAAGACGGCAGGGTGGGGAGAGATGGCGGGGCTCGAACACTGCTCCCCGACACGTCGGCCCCGAAGGCTGAAGAGCATCGTCAGAGGCATCCTTCTCGTTTTCAGGCCGCGTTGAAACAGACAACAGCTGTCACATACAGTTAGTAACACCCCCCCCCAACAGTTGGCTCTGACTTCTGGGTGGGGGCCAAGGAGGAAGGGATGTGAAGACTAGGAATCCAGAGTTTTCCCTCTGAAGAGCTTCAGGGGGGAAGCCCGAGGCATCTGACTGAGAACGGGGCTGCGGCGAAGCTTCGGGGATGAGCGTGTGCTCCAGTGTCCGCTCCATCACCGGCCGTGGGCCACGGGGCAGTGCTCTCTCGGCCTTAGCATCGCCCACTTGTAGACCACAGGTCAGATCCGCTCACTCGTTCAGCAGTTATATATTGAGTGCTTACTATGAGCTGGGCGCTGGGGACAGTCGTGAATAAAATAGTCTGCTCTCTACGGAGCCTCCGATCCTGAGGGGGTCCACGCTTTGGAGGAAAATAAAGCTGGGAAGGAGGATCCAGAGCAGAGCAGGAGAAGGGAGCCCTGCTGAGATCCGATCATGCGATTCGGGCAGGAGGCTTTGAGTTCGAGTGAGAAGGCATCTGGAAGGCTTTGATCCCAGGAGTGATGTGCTCTGATTTAACTTTTAACAGTATCGCTTGTCCCAAATACACTCCTGGTCTGGACTTTGAGGCTAAATAAATGCTGCAGAGAAAAAGCCTTCTAAGTGACACGGACAAGAAGGACTGGTACTTCGGAAGTACACGAGAAGTCACTGAAGCCACCCAGGCAGGGAGCGCCGGGGGCCAGAGTCTGTGTGCAGCGCACCACAGGGCACGCTGGTCAGGGGACGACTCGGCAATCCGTTGGCTCCCATACAACTCGCTTTTACAGAGCTAATACCAGAAATACTCTTATTTCACTGGGGTTGATTATGGCTACAGAAAGGGTGGGAGTCCTCTCCCTGCCCAACAGGCCCATCAATCAACACATGGCTGCCAACAGGAGGCCGAGAGGGGCAATTTCAGCAGCAGCTGCTCCGCAGAGAACCCACGTGGGGGCAGCCGTACCTGGGGATAAACACGGGTCAGCTCCAGAGGCCAAGGGCACACATTCCCAAAGACACAGCAGGCCTGGGCAGACAGACCAGTCTAACAGGCACCAGGCTGCTCTGGGAACCAACAGCTGGCATCAGTAGCTCTTTGTGTGCCTGTACCAGGCCCCACAAAGTGGCATCCAAGCGTACACAGTGAGATCAGGGCAGTTATGGGAGCGGCTGCCTTCTCATGCATGTGCACCAGGAGTCAGGGGACAGCTTTAAAGAAAGCAGACAAGACTCCTCGTTATTTCGGCAGAAAATGATCCGGAAGCTCAAGACCCTCATTCTTCACCAGGCCGGCACTGCCAGGAGAGGGGGTGGGGAGTAACCGCAGGAGGGTGACTTCCCTGGGATGCTGACCACAGGCTGCACTTCCATCAAAGTGCACCGTGCACGGTGAGGACCGCCAGTTGGGCACAGTCAGGATGGAAAGTCTGAGAGAACCATCTAAGGACAGGGATATGCGACCTCCCACCTCGTATCTGTAAAGTCAAGCGGGGCAGAAAAAGCATTTGACAATCTCAACACCCTTTCATGATAAAAACACTCAACAGCCTAGGGATAGTCCAGACTAGGCTGGACCCTGGCCCTTGGGTGACAAGAGAGGAGTGTATGCTGGGACACACAGGACGTCTCCCACAGAGGGCCACCTCTCCAAGGTCGAGAAACTAACCTACCTAAATACACAAACAGAAAGATAGACAATATGAGGCAGCAGAGGAGTATCTCCCAGGCCAACGCACAAGATAAAATCCCAGAAGAAATAAGTGATGAAGAGGTAGGCAATTTATTTGACAAAGAGTTTAGAGTAATGATGGCAAAGATGTTCAGAGACCTCAAGAGGAGTATAGATGCACAGAGTGAAGTTTTCAGCAAAGAGTTGGAAAATATAAAGAATACCCAGAGTTGAAAAATAAAAATCACTG